GTATATTATCTAGAATTTCTTATTGTTTTGGGAGGTTTGGTATATTTGAGTCTGTTTTTAGTTTGCTGTATGTGGTTTGGTTGGCTTTTATTTATATATTTATGAAATGTAAGGTTTGGATTTAATTATTTTTCTTAATATCTTGCGCACTACTGGCACCTGCTCTGGGAAGGCAGATGGGAATTAGCTTTAAGCTTTATCTGTTACAGTTCATATATTATGCATTGGCCCAGTCAAACATCAATACAAAGAATCAGAGAAACAGCTTCTGCACTTTGTTCAGACACATTTCCATTTTCCTGAGCTCTCTTGAGTTGGTGAGTTTAGACAGTCAGCTGTTAGGAGCAAAGTTGCACTTTACTGTTTTTTTTTTTTTTTTTTTATTGTATCTGTTCCTTGTTGTGGAGACTGTAGCACTCAATTTTAATTTCATTCCCTGATTAATGAATATTGTCTGTGAAGAGAATGATCTGGACCTTAATACAGTAAGATGACTACAGAACATTAGAGGAAGAATAAAATGTCCCCTGAGACTGTTGTACTATTATATATTCTATCATTAGATTAAAAAATAAAGTGAGATGGGAAACAAGATTTCAGTCAGTTTGAACTTTTTTTGTTGTTGATTTGGCTTTGAGCACAGACACATTTATCACGTAATTCAGATGGCTGAGCCGAGGTTTGAACCCACATCTCCAGTAGGCGTCCTTCCCCACCGGAGCATCTTCAGTACCGATAAAGACCAACAACCAGAGAGAGGAAGATCAGACCAAGGGAGGAACCTGCAGAAGATCCTCCTCCATCAGTCTGGAGGGGAAACTCTGGATGATGGACTTCCTGTCCTCTGAGCTTCTAATCATTTGCTTGTTGAGCAGTGGTCATTGCTTCTGGTTTCCTGGTGGGAGATCTGGTTTAAATTATGGGGAAAATTATAAAGCTACTTTTCCTCTTTTTATTTCACAGAAAGAAAAGATTTGAATCCACTACTTCTCTGTTACTGAACCAGCAGAGATACCAGAACTTTCTGAGCTGCATCAGATCAGAAGTTCATTAAATCTGGAGTACAGAGAAGATCAGACTGAGGGAGGAACCTGCAGAAATTACCCTTCAATTCAATTAAATTCTATTAATCACAACAACAGTTATCTCACAGCGCTTTCCATAAAAGAACAGGTTTAGACCATACTCTGTTATTTACAGAAGCCCAACAATTCCCACCAAGAGCTGCACTAGGCGACAGGCAAGGAAAAACTTCCTTTAAGAGGCAGAAACCTCGAGCAGAACCATGGCTCAGGGTGGGCGACCATCTGCCTCCACCGGTTGGGGTGAAGGAGAGAGAGAGAGAGGGGGGGGGGGGGGGGGGGCAGCCTACACAATATCCACACAGAGGTACAGACAGTAAAGGTGAAGTTGCAATAGACTAAATGAAAAATGGTACAGATATTTATAGTAGTGTTAATGATAACAATCGTTATGTTAATGATTATAATAACAATAATAACAATAGGACTAGTAACAATAGTCGTTGCAGCAGAGGGTGTCGAGCAGGAACACGGGGGCAGCAGGTGACCCGCAACCACAGATCCAGACTCCACAGCTCCAGAGCCAGAAACACCTGCAGGAAGTGATAGGAGGAGAGAGGAGAGGGACGAGAAAGCACAAGACTACCAGAAAGGGGAGAAGTTGTGTTAGTAACATGCAATAATGGGATGAGGTTGCATACAGAGGGAGAGAAAGTAGAGGAGAGAGGAGCTCAGTGCATCATGGGAAATCCCCTGGCAGTCTAGGCCTATAGCAGCATAACTAAGGGATGGTTCAGGACTCACCTGAGCCAGCCCTAACTATAAGCTTTATCAAAGAGGAAAGTCTTAAGCCTACTCTTAAATGTGGAGATGGTGTCTGCCTCCTGAACCCAAACTGGAACCTGGTTCCACAGGAGAGGAGCTTGATAGCTGAACGCTCTGGCTCCTAGTCTACTTTTGGAGACTCTAGGAACCACAGGTGCATTCTGGGAGCGCAGTGCTCTGGTGGGGTAGTAAGGTACTATGAGCTCTTTAAGATAAGATGGTGCCTGAACATTAAGAGCTTTGTAGGTAAGAAGAATGATTTTAAATTCTATTCTGGATTTTACTGGAAGCCAATGCAGAGAAGCTAAAACAGGAGAAATATGATCTCTTTTCCTGGTTCCTGTCAGAACACGTACTGCAGCATTCTGGATCAGCTGAAGAGTCTTAATGGACTTTTTCGAGCAGCCTGATAATAAGGAATTGCAGTAATTCAGCCTAGAAGTAACAAATGCATGGACTAGTTTTTCTAAAACATTTTTAGACAGGATGTTCCTGATTTTCACAATATCACGTAGGTGAAAAAAGGCGGTCCTTGAAATTTGTTTAATGTGAGAATTCAAAATCAAAGATAACTCCAAGATTCCTCACAGTGGTGCTGGAGGCCAGGGCGATGCCATCCAGGGAAACTATATCTTTAGATAATGCGTCACAGAGGTGCTTGGGCCCCAGAACAATAACTTCAATTTTATCTGAGTTTAACATTAGAAACTTACAGGTCATCCAGGTTTTAACATCCTGAAGGCACATTTGAAGTTTAGCTAACTGATGAGTTTCATCTGGCTTGATCGATAGATATAACTGAGTATCATCTGCATAACAATGAAAGTTTATGGAATGTTTCCTGATAATATTGCCTAAAGGAAGCATATATAAAGTGAAGAGGATTGGTCTGAGGACAGATCCTTGAGGAACTCCATGACTAACTTTGGCATGCATGGAGGACTCATCGTTAACATGTAGAAACTGAAATCGATCTGATAAATAGGACTTAAACCAGCTTAGAGCGGTTTCTTTAATGCCAATGAAATGTTCCAGTCTCTGCAATATGATCTGATGGTCAATGGTATCAAATGCAGCACTACGATCTAATAAAACCAGTACAGAGACAAGTCCTTTGTCTGATGCAATAAGGAGGTCATTAGTGATTTTCACCAGTGCTGTCTCTGTGCTATGATGAACTCTGAATCCTGACTGAAAATCCTCAAATAAACTATTGCTCTGTAGAAAGTCATACAGTTGTTTGGCAACTGCTTTTTCCAGGACCTTAGAGAGAAATGGAAGGTTAGATATAGGTCTATAGTTGGCTAAAACATCCGGATCAAGTTTGGGCTTTTTCAGAAGAGGTTTAATTACAGCTACTTTAAAGTACTGTGGTACATAGCCTGTTGATAAAGATAGATTGATCATATCTAGTATAGAGGTGCTGACTAAGGGTAAAACATCTTTAAGCAGCCTAGTCGGGATGGGGTCTAAGAGGCAGGTTGATGGTTTAGATGAAGAAATTATTGATGTTAGTTGGTAAAGATTGAGGGTCTTGGTGAATTTTGTTTCTAATAGTTAGAATTTTATCATTAAAGAAGCTCATGAAGTCGTAACTACTGAGAGCTATGGGAATACTTGGCTCAATAGAGATGTGACTCTCTGTCAGCCTGGCTACAGTGCTGAATAGAAACCTGGGAATTGTTCCTATTTTCCTCTATTAATGACGAGTAGTACGCTGCTCTGGCATTACGGAGGGCCTTCCTATAAGTTTTAAGACTATCTTGCCAAATTAAACGAGAATTTTCCAGGTCTTCCCCAGAAAGTCTGCCAATGATCTACAAAGCCCACATTGTTTGCAACCTCTGCAGCAATGCTGGCAGCACTCAGACGTCTATTTCCCAAAGAAAACCTCTGGACGCTGAGCACGTGCTCTTTGGTCGACCATGGCAAGGTCTGTTCTGAGTGGAACCTGTCCTGGTGAACCGCTGTATGGTCTTGGCCACCGTGCTGCAGCTCAGTTTCAGGGTCTTGGCGGTCTTCTTACAGCCTCGGCCATCTTTATGTAGAGCATCCGTTCTTTGTTTCAGATCCTCAGAGAGTTCTTTGCAATGAGATGCCATGTTGAACTTCCAGTGAACTGTATGAGGGAGTGTGAGAGCGACAACACCAAATTTAACACACCTGCTCCCCGTTCACACCTGAGACCTTGTAACACTAATGAGTCACATGACACCGGGGAGGGGAAATGGCTAACTTGGCCCAATTTGGACATTTTCACTTAGGGGTGTCCTCACTTCTGTTGCCAGCGGTTTAGACATTAATGGCTGTGTGATGTTATTTTGAGGGGACAGCAGATTTACACGGTTGTGTAACGTCTTACGCTGACAGCTCGGAACATGGACCGCCCGCTGAGGGCTTGATCTGGGATGTTGATGGGGTAGGTAGGTAAAGATGTGGGCACACAGTCTCTGGTTTTCACTGATTGGCCAACATTAGTCCCATTTTGTCCACGTCAGACCTTTTGGAGCAGCCTTTAGTCCAAACTGGGCCAACATGGCTCCTATCCCGGCTGTCTTTCCTCTCCTCTGAGTGATCACAGCATCCTGCATGGTACCTGGTCTGGTTGATCCGGCTGGTGGATCGTCTAAGGTCTGCTGCTCAAAAACCCTGTCTTCCTTTTGAAATTACCGTATTTCTGTCAGAGGTAACCCGGGGTTGCAGCAATAAAGCCTTAAAAAACTGATGAAAACTAAAGTGTAGCGAAGTTTGTAGGAGCTGCTGCTTCTACAAACTGCCGGTTGCCATGTAGTTTAGTTTGGTGTAAACTATATTTAGTTGACAAAATGTACTTATTCAATGTATAATAATATTTATTCATATTTGTATCTCATTTATGTCATTTTATGACTGTCTTTTATGTTCTTTGGTAAAGTTCTCCAGATACTTTTGATTTAAAAACATTTTGTCATTCAGCAACAACAAAGTCTGTTTTACTTCCTGAAACAGTTTCTACCCGATAGCATGTCCATCTGAGACTCTGTGTCATTATTTACTCATAAATAACTGGAAATGTTTTATTTGTCCTTTAGTTGTCCTCTATAACAAACCTCCGTAGTGTGGCCTAACTCGCTTCTTTACATGATTTCAGAGGGGAACAGCGAAGGCATCATCAGACTGCTTTTCAGTTTCATTACCTGAGTTTCTGTTCAGTCTGTGAAGTCACAGCAGCCAGATCGATAACACAGTAACTCTTCTTCATCTTCATCTTCATCTTCATCTGGACCTTCTTCCTCTCAGAGCAGGGTTTGTGATTTCACTATGAGGTAAGTTTGCTTCACTTTAACAGCTTTATTTAGTAATGATTAAACAAAGGTTGTTTTCCTCCTTTCTTATCAGAATCAGAATCAGAATCTGTGTTCACATACAGTGGGTACGGAAAGTATTCAGACCCCTTTAAATTTGTCACTCTTTGTTTCATTGCAGCCATTTTCCAAAAATCTTATTAATATTTCTCAGTAATGTACACTCAGCACCCCATCTTGACAGAAAAACAGAAATGTAGAAATTTTTGCAAATTTATTAAAAAGAAAAACTGAAATATCACATGGTCATAAGTATTCAGACCCTTTGCCGTGACACTCATATTTAACTCAGGTGCTGTCTATTTCTTCTGATCATCCTTGAGATGGTTCTTCACCTTCATTTGAGTCCAGCTGTGTTTGATTATACTGATTGGACTTGATTAGGAAAGCCACACACCTGTCTATATAAGACCTTACAGCTCACAGTGCATGTCAGAGCAAATGAGAATCATGAGGTCAAAGGAACTGCCTGAAGAGCTCAGAGACAGAATTGTGGCAAGGCACAGATCTGGCCAAGGTTACAAAAAAATTTCTGCTGTACTTAAGGTTCCTAAGAGCACAGTGGCCTCCATAATCCTCAAATGGAAGACGTTTGGGACGACCAGAACCCTTCCTAGAGCCGGCCGTCCGGCCAAACTGAGCTATCGGGGGAGAAGAGCCTTGGTGAGAGAGGTAAAGAAGAACCCAAAGGTCACTGTGGCTGAGCTCCAGAGATGCAGTCGGGAGATGGGAGAAAGTTGTAGTAAGTCAACCATCACTGCAGCAATCCACCAGTCGGGGCTTTATGGCAGAGTGGTCCGACGGAAGCCTCTCCTCAGTGCAAGACACATGAAAGCCCGCATGGAGTTTGCTAAAAAACACCTGAAGGACTCCAAGATGGTGATAAATAAGATCCTCTGGTCTGATGAGACCAAGATAGAACTTTTTGGCCTTAATTCTAAGCGGTATGTGTGGAGAAAACCAGGCACTGCTCATCACCTGTCCAATACAGTCTCAACAGTGAAGCATGGTGGTGGCAGCATCATGCTGTGTGGGTGTTTTTCAGCTGCAGGGACAGGACGACTGGTTGCAATCGAGGGGAAAGATGAATGCGGCCAAGTACAGGGATATCCTGGACGAAAACCTTTTCCAGAGTGCTCTGGACCTCAGACTGGGCCGAAGGTTTACCTTCCAACAAGACAATGACCCTGAGCGTACCGCTAAAATAACGAAGGAGTGGCTTCACAACAACTCCGTGGCTGTTCTTGAATGGCCCAGCCAGAGCCCTGACTTAAACCCAATTGAGCATCTCTGGAGAGACCTGAAAATGGCTGTCCACCAACGTTTACCATCCAACCTGACAGAACTGGAGAGGATCTGCAAGGAGGAATGGCAGAGGATACCCAAATCCAGATGTGAAAAACTTGTTGCATCTTTCCCAAAACGACTCATGGCTGTATTAGATCAAAAGGGTGCTTCTACTAAATACTGAGCAAAGGGTCTGAATACTTATGACCATGTGATATTTCAGTTTTTCTTTTTTAATAAATTTGCAAAAATTTCTACATTTCTGTTTTTTTTTTTCTGTCAAGATGGGGTGCTGAGTGTACATTACTGAGAATAAAATGAACTTTTTGATTTTTGGAAAATGGCTGCAATGAAACAAAGAGTGAAAAATTTAAAGGGGTCTGAATACTTTCCGTACCCACTGTATGAGGATTCTGACTCCGGTCTCTCAGTGTGCACACACAGAAACACAAGCATTTAAACAAACAGGACTACAAGCTCAGCAAGAACAGACAGAGTGCAAAGGATGCAAAGTGTGCAGGTATTATTATATGAGGTAGGTAGTTATGTAAACTATGCAGAAGTCTCTCTTCATAGTTACATCGTCTCTTCAGGCCTTCCTGTACACTCAGGCAGGTGAACATCTTTACAGTCGAGATAGAGTTTGACTCCCTCATTGCTCGTGTTACAGCTGAAGCAGAACTTAATATCCACAGGGATACCACCTAATGATGTCACCTAGGCTACAAGAATCCTTTTGGTAAAGGTCACTGAGGCCCAGACCTCTGGGAGCTACAGTGCTGGATGGAAGCACTGTAGATCTCAATCCCTGATGTTCAAGAGCCAGAGCCCAGAGTTAATAACGCTCACATGAAGGAAGGTCCAAGGTGTCCAAATCTGTATGTACTTGAATGTGTCTTCACGGACGGACAGTAAGCAGCCTTCCCTCTCGGACTCCCTCTGTGTTTCTAGCAGCTCTCTTCACTCCAGACTGCAGAAGCTGCAGAGTCGCTTCACCTGGGATCTGAAGGAGGAGGACATGGACCTGGAAAACCTCAGCATTCGACTACAGGAGCATATAGACCTTCAGCTGGGACAGCAGAGTGCAGTGGCTTTGTCCTACAGCTTCTTGGCTTATGTCAGGTACAGTAAGGCGTCACCTGGCTCAGTGTGGTCCTTGGCTACGTGTTTGGCAATGACCTTACCTTGCAGCACGAGGGGAAAGAGAGGAAAAACTGATACTTGAGCTTCTCTACTCAAAGTGTCTCTAAGTACAATCTGCAAAAAATGTTCTACAAAAGAAAAGAACAGAGCAAAACAGCGTGGAGTTCTCATCCAAAAACCGCAACTGATATACAGAAACAGACAGGATGTGACAGCATATCTTGTGATCCATGGCTGATCTCTGTCCATGCAGACAAACCATGATCAGTCACCCTTTAACTGGTCTGTTATCCATATGACAACAAATATGGTGCTCATGAACACAGAAGATATTCTATATGTCCCCTATTTTTGTAAACGCATTCTCCTAACTTCTCTTAAGGTTTTAAAAGTTCAATGATAAATGAAATATATATTATCAAAATGGTAAATCAGTCAGCTGAGCAAAGCTAAACAGAATAAAACAGAAAACCAGGCAATATACATCATAATCAACACACTGGTCGTATATCAAAATCAATCAATGAATTATGGTAAAACACTTTTTCATGATATCATCTAAACTTCTCATACTAGGATCAAACATTTCTGTAACATTAACGCAAGGTTAATCACATCAAATTACTTAAACCTAATAATTATAAACCAATTAATACCATTAATAAACTTTCTATAAACTGACACTCTTTGTCAGGTAAAACACATATTTGTTACTAAAAACTGTTGGTAATTTAGCATCCTCATTCATTTATCAGTTATTATCATCCTTAGTACATTTTTAAAACATCATAATCATAACGTGTTAATTCATTTCACAGAGAATTTGTTCATAACCAACATCAAACTATGGTCTCTGCAGGCAGGAGGTTCACTTCCTGTCAGTCTTCGGATGCAGGCTCCTGTGGTTAGGCTGCAAACGGCTATGTGCTAGACTCTCTGCTCATACTTTGTTAAAACCGAAAGTCATCTCCTATCATTCTAAATGTTTGGTAACAAATAACAGTTCATGAAGTTTTCCAGAACATATGAATGCTGGCTGTCAAAATACATATTCTGTCAAAGTAAAGAGTAAAAAAGGAGTAAGAGCATGTAAAAATACATTCCTACTGTCAGCATTATTATAATGGTGATTAAGCAATGTGTTTTAGGAACTAAACAGCAACTAATTTGACTAATTTGACTTCAGCAATGTATTCAGCAATTTTTCTTCAAGTGATATTATCTTATGTGATGATTCCTTAAAGGAAAAAAATAAAGAAATATAATGAAGAATAATCAAAAGATGATTTCTCTTGTTATATTTTCTGTCACATTTAAACATCCTTTCTCTAACAATTATATCAAATACTTCTTTATATGCTGACTTTGTGATACATACTCATCTTTGCTTCATCTTTAAACAATAGGATGCTGAATTAAGGTTAATTTTGTCACAGTAGAGATTAGTCTACATCAGAAGCACATGTTGCTGGTAGCTGACTGATAGCCATCTATTAGGTTACCGCCTGTAAGGCCTGTCCCAGGGAGGCAATGCCCAATAATTTTGCTATGGGTGTGACAACAGAAGGCTTGGAACGTTATGTGCCAATATGCTGCATTTGCTCATTCATACTGAACAAAGGTTTGCGGCATAATCTGTTGTGGCTTTTCACACAGACGTCGGTCCGTCTCTGTTACTAACAAATTACCAAATTTGACCCCACCAGTCCAGCTCCATACCTTTCATACAGCGCAGCAAGCTGGCATATTGGCACAATATTTCGAGAAAATAACGCTGTGTGAAAGTGGCGGAAACTAGACAGAGACACTTCTGAGGAGAGGACGTGGAAAAATGGCTTGTGAGGCCTTTCTTCAGTTTGAACACCTGCAGCTTGATAAAAGTAAAATTAAGTTTAAAAAAAAACAACTACAAAAACTAAGTTTCTTCAAACATCTCACAACAGCCTGTCTCTCCTCAGGTATCTTCAGGGTCGACGACAGGAGGCGATGTCACTTCTCAACCAATCAGAGGAGAAGACCAGGGAGTGTTACGGTGAGGAGAGTGAGCGGCGGCTCATCGTGACGTACGGAGACCAGGCCTGGCTGAAATACCACACAGGAGACTACAAACAGTCACATAGTTACTGCCAGAGGGTGGACGACATCCTGGTATGGATACTCACTGCTTTAGGACAGACTGAAAATGGTTTAATGCTCTGTGAGGAACTTTTATCAGCAAACTCACACATGATCAGAGTCACTAATCAAGTTACACATTTTCCTCAACCTAAGCGCTGTTTATGCTTAAGTTCTTTCTCCGCCCACCACTCCTCCTCTTTACAGGTGAAGTATCCTGCTGGTTCTACCACAGTTCTCCACCCAGAGGTATATGGAGAAAAAGCTTGGACCTACCTTAAGTGTTTGAATTCTTACTACCCCAAAGCCATTGACTGTTTCCGCAAAGCGTTAGAGCTGCAGCCTGATGACAGCGAGTGGAACGCTGGCTGCGCTATTGCCCTCTACCGCACAGAACCGGTATGTTTCTTAATAAACATGATGAAAGCCATATTGCTCTTGTCTGCACCAAACTGGCACATTGCATTAACAGTCCAATCAGTGATTTTATTATTTAAGTTGATCATTGAATGTCAGCGTGTTGCTGTGTTCATAAGAAGTGTTACTGACTAATGTTCTCTTTGAATTGGAAGCTGATGGCAGATTTGTAGCCCAGGGATTTAAAACAGATTCTCATTTGCAGAGTGATTTAGAAACATCCCAGGAAGATGAGGAGTCACCGGCCATCAAACAGCTTCGGCGAGCCCTGGAGATCAACCCTGATGATGGTGTTCTGCTGTCGATGCTGGCTCTGAAGCTGACCGCCCACAAGAAGCACCAAGAGGCTGAAGCCCTGGTAGAGAGAGCGCTGGAGAAGGATCCTGACAACCCTCATGCAATTCGCTACATAGCCAAATATCTTCGCATTCAGGTAGGTCTGAATTACTCTCAGTTAAGATTACTGTGATTAATTTATCCATCAATCCATTTAATCTGGGATGTGGTCACAGTGGCAGCAGGTCAAACAGCGCAGTCAAGAGGTCCTTTTTTCCAGCACTTCCAAGGTGATACCAAAACATTCCCAGGCTAGTTGGAATATACAATCCCTCCAAGGTCCAGAAGCATCCTAAACAGATGCCGAACCACCTCATTCACAGTGAGAGTGTCTACACTAGCACAAACAGACATTTAGACTGGACGGGCAAAGTCCCAAGACCCCTTCAGTATCTATGCAAGGGTCATGAGCTGGTTAACAGCTCCATGGCCAGGATAGATCACTCCCGCTTAAGTGACAGTTTGCCAAAGCACTCTAGCATTTGGTCAGATGGTTGCATTCAGCAGCGGGTTTTTGGGTTTTCATGGTTAGATGAATTGGGCCTATCCTTCTGCAAACAAAGTTGGACCAAATGGCCTCCCCAACCAAAGAGCTAGTATTTCAAAATGATTTCACAGGATTATATTGGTTGGATTGGATAAAATTGGGTATTTCAAAGCAGACCCGGAAGATCTGGATTCAGACTTGGTAATCCAATGTTACCTTTAATCTGTACAAAATGCTGCATTTGGGTATTTCAGACTTGAAAGCCAATATTTGGGATCATTTACATCCCACCTTTGAGGTGGATTTGGCATAGTTTGACAAATCACGCATAGTGTTAGTTCTGGCAGACATCGCCAGAACACACGATATAAAAACAACTGCATTTTCTGTGTACACGTTTCAATTTACCCCGCTGCTCGTTATGTCGAGTCCTGTCCATGACAGATCAACTGTATCAGGGACTCACAGCATCAGCATTATGATGCAGAGGAAGCCATCTTGATGTTTTTTGCGCCGCTGGCCCCCAGCCTGTCCTTTGGCCTGCTAGCGCTGCTAGCCCCCAGTCTGACCCTGTCCCTCGGCCTGCTAGCGCCGCTAGCCCCCGGCCTGTCCCTCGGCCTGCTAGCCCCCAGTTTGGTCCAGATCCCCAGCTCACTAGCGCCGCTAGCCCCCAGTTTGGTCCAGATCCCCAGCCTGTTAGCCCCCAGCCTGGCCCTGATCCCCAACCTGCTAGCGCCGCCAGCCTCCAGCCTGTCCTCCCCGATCCCTTGCCCCTTAGGGCCCCTGCTCCCCGTGTTCTGTTGGCGGACGGACCGGCTTCAGCCCCGCCGGTGGTCTGGCCGACCCCTGCTCCCCGTGTTCTGTTGGCGGACGGACCGGTTTCAGCCCCGCCGGTGGTCCGGCTGACCCCTGCTCCCCATGTTCTGTTGGCGGACGGACCAGCTTCAGCCCCGCCGGTGGTCCGGCCGACCCCTGCTCCCTGTGACTCTCTGGCTTGTCTCGCCTTGCTCCCCAGCCTCTGGAGAGGCCGCCACACCTGGCTCCCCAGCCTCTGGAGAGGTCGCCACGCCCGGCTCCCCGGCCTCTGGAGAGGTCGTCTCGCCCCTTAGCCCGTCACTCGGGCCACCCGCCGGACCCTCCTGGCTCCCCTGGTCCGCCCTCGGCCTGCCCCCCTGAACTTCCTGATTCCCCCTGTCTGCCCTCGGGCGGCAGAGCTCCGCCCTCGGGACGTCCGCCCGAACCCCCTGGCCTCCCAGGCCCTCCCTCGGGATGTCCGCCCGAAATCCATGGCTCCCCTGCTCCGCCCTCGGGACGTCCGCCCGAACCCCCTGGCCTCCCAGGTCCTCCCTCGGGACGTCCGCCCGAACCCCTTGATCCCTCTGCTCCGCCCTCAGGCACCCCGTCTGAACTCCCTGGTCCCCCAGCTCTACCCTCTGGCACCCTGTCTAGCCCTGTGTTTTCAGTTCAGCCCTGCCCGTTCCCCTAACCCTTCCCTGTCCTGAAGCCCTCCCTGAATTCCCTGTTTGGTTTTGGACCCTGGACCCCCATCAGCCGGACCCCAGTGCGACTTCCTCCCCCCTGTGTTCGTCTGCCAAGCCCCTTGTCCAATAGGAAGGCCGCCGGGAGGCGTCCATTGAGGAGGGGGCCCTGTTGTGGTGGAAGCCCGGCTGACGGTGAGTGTCCTGGTTTTTTCTCCTTTTTATCAGGTTTTCTCCCCTGTGTGCTCTCTCTCCCTCTGCTCCTGAGCCCAGCCAACTACCTGCACCTGCGTCCCATCAGCCACCTCGTCAGCCTGCCACACCTGCCAATAATCACCTCATGACTGCCTGCCTGTATTTCAACCCCGGTTCTCCACACCATCCTCGCTTGATCGTTGTTGCTCCATACCCGGTACCACTTCCGTGTTCAGGCTTCCATGTTTCTTGTTTTTTCACATTTACCCTGTGCCTTGTCGCTGTCTTCCCTAACCTTGTCTCTCTGTCTGTTTCCCTCCCAGGTACACTCACCCTCGTCCTCCGTTCGGCTGGGCTCATCCACTGGCCCACTCCTCCTCGGACTTCCCTCACGGCGTCCTCCCTGTCCCCCCGCCTCTCCTCGCTTCCTCGGCCCCTGTGTTCCCCGGCTCCTTGGTTCCCCATGCCTGTGCTTCCCCGACGTCCTCCTCTCCCTCCACTCCAGTCCCTCTCACCCTTTTTCCCTCAATAAACCTCCTTCCCTCAGAGTGCTGCATTTGGGTCCTCTCTGTCCACACACCACACCCCGTAACAGTTAGCTTGCTAGCTACCTAACATTGGTCAACATAGCATGAACTTAGCTTCAATAATGCTCTTGTTTTTAGTAGGTGACAGTTCATGTCACTTGCGGGCAAGACACATTGGTTACCATTCATATAGTCTTACAAATGCTACATATTAGACAAAAGTATAGTTACAGTGTCTATGAAGATTCTCAGTCATCCAGGTCATAGTTATCCAACGAAGGTTAAAATCAAGGGCAACTGGACTTGGTTGAAGATACTGGAAGACGTTTCGTCCCTCATCCAAAGGACTTCTTCAGTTCTGACTGACTGGTAGGGAAACTCAGCTATTTAACCTCAGTGGGGTCGTTATCCCGGGTCATCAATACCGCTGGTTCATTAGTGTTCCTTGTTGCTGTGACGACAGTCGTTACAGTCGTTAAGACTACCTGTGGCCAAGACTGAACGACCATCGTTGGTATCTTCATCTGAGGCCAATAGGTTATGTTTGTTGAGTTTCAGGTGTAGTGTAAAAGCGCTTTGAGTGGTCGAAAAGATGCTATACAAAACGGCTAACACAAGACAACACCCTGGACAACAGAACTAGCCTCAGCCCTGACCAAATCTGCAAATTACTCGACCTCTGTCTAAACACCACCTACTTCCAGTACAACGGTGGATTCTACAGACAGAAGCATGGCGGCGCCATGGGCTCACCGGTATCCCCGATTGTGGCAAACATCTACATGGAAGAAGTGGAGAATAAAGCCCTCAACTCCTTCAGAGGAATAGCACCGAGCCACTGGTACAGATATGTGGACGACACCTGGGTCAAAATTAAAAGCCAGGAAGTGCAAGCCTTCACAGAACACATCAACTCTGTGGACAGTAACATCAAGTTCACACGAGAAGATGTTCACAACAACAGTTTGGCCTTCCTGGACCTGTACACATTGAAGAGGACAGGAGCCTGCAGATTGACCTTTGTGAAAACAGCTACAAGATCCAAGAAGAACAAAACTACAGGGGAGGAAAAGAAGGTCAAACGCAACAACATTGTGATTCCATACGTGTCTGGAGTATCAGAGAAACTCAGGAGGATTTTCAACAAACATAACATCCCTGTGATAAACCCAAGAACACACTAAGACAGATGCTGGTACATCCCAAAGACCGCACACCCAAACACAAGAAAAGCAATCTAGTGTATGCGGTCCAATGCAGTGAGGAATGCACAGACCTGTATATTGGGGAGACTAAACAACCACAACACAAATGCATGGCTTAACACAGAAGGGCCAACTCCTCAGGTCAAGACTCTGCAGTCTACTTACATCTGAAGGACAGAGGACACTCGTTTGAGGACCACCAGGTGCACATTTTAGACAGAGAAGAAGCCATCTATACCAGGGTTGAGAAGCCATCATTGAACAGAGGAGGGGGTCTACGCCACCACTTATCCCCCACTTACAATGCTGTCCTTTCATCACTTCCCAACGTAACCTATTGGCCTCAGATGAAGATACCAACGATGGTCGTTCAGTCTTGGCCACAGGTAGTCTTAACGACTGTAACGACTGTCGTCACAGCAACAAGGAACACTAACGAACCAGCGGTATCGATGACCCGGGCCAACGACCCCACTGAGGTTAAATAGCTGAGTTTCCCTGCCAGTCAGTCAGAACTGAAGAAGTCCTTTGGATGAGGGACGAAACGTCTTCCAGTATCTTCAACCAAGTCCAGTTGCCCTTGATTTTAACCTTCGTTGGATATAGTTACAGTCTAAAAATGAACTGACTGTATGCTTTCATATGCCAGGGGGAGGATAGGTGGTCTATTGATCTGCTGAGGCGAGCACTGAAGAGGACCAACCAGTCAGCTTTCATCCACCACCAGCTGGCTATGTGCTACAAGAAAAAGCAGCATAAATGCAAGACCAGCAAGGCCTTCAACAAACAAGGTACAATCACATTTACACAGGTCTAAAGGTCCTTGAAATCCTATAATATTTATAGATCGAAACTAAGCTATGTTGTGCTGCATTACACTAGAGGTGAAGCAGTGGAAGCATCTGCGTATTCAACACCTGGAAGAAGCCGTTAAGATAAAGCCTTCATTTGTTGTCGCAATTGCTGATCTGGCACTGCTGCATGGACAGGAAATGAATTTAAGCAGGTACTCTGTTTACGCTGCTACAGTGATGTTCTGTCTTTTTGTTCTTGGTCTTTCTGTTCTGTGTCTGTTTTAGTTAAAACTAATTTATCATCATCACGTCTTTGTCTGTCAGGGCTGAGGAGCTGTTCCAACAGGCATTTCAGAATTTAGCAACGGACAAAGGCGCTACTCAGGCTTTCCATCTGAACTATGCTGACTTTTATCTCTATCACACCAAACAGGAAGCTAAAGCGATCCCTCACTACATTGAGGTGGGTCTACATCTGCATGTGTGTGTTGAAAACCAAAGATAATTGACATTATACTGAATAAACTCACCTTCACAGATCTAACTTATCAGAACTACAAAACAAAATAATTGATTTTATTACAAACCACTGAACTTTGGAAAAACAGACTTTAGAAAAGATTAATATCACAACATTACACAGTAGGCAGTATCCCTCTAACATACTGATCTACCCTCTGTTTTTATTCACTCAACAGGGTCTGCGTTTAACACAGGACACATGGGAGTGGAACAGTGCGTTATGGTGAGCATCAGGTTATCAGGACTGCTGATGCAGTTGTACATAACAAATGTTATGAAAAATTGTGAATGTGTTCTGTGGTGATTGGATAGTTCAAATTGATGTGAAAGGTCTGGTCAGGACTCTGGGTTTGCCTTTACAGAGAGTGGCTCCAATAACCAGGTCTTGTTGTAACGAGCTTTATTTACTCAATAAGGTGCATACAGTATAACGTACAGGCAGTGATGAGACTTGTGGTTTGGGTTCATGGACCCACAAATCACTGTTTAGCTGAAAATAATGGAGAAAAAAAGGATTTTCTGATGATCATTTAGCCTTTTGAAGTGATAACCTTGGATTAGGAAATACAACATGCTAACATTAGAACACAGCTCTGATGATTGCTGATAATGGGCCTCTGTACATCTGTAGATATTCCATTACAAATCAGCCATTTCCAGCTAAAATAGTCATTTACAACATTAACAATGTCTACACTGTATTTCTGATCAATTTGATGGTATTTTAATAGATATTTGAAAAGGAAACTTCTAAGCTGTCCAAACTTTTCACTGGTAGTGTATTTAGAATACATATAAACACAGATCAGCCATAACATTATTACCACTGACAAGTGAAGTGATTATCTCGTTACCATGGCCCCTGTCAGTGGATGAGATACATGAGGCAGCAAGTGAACATTTTGTTCTCACAGTTGATGTGTTAGACGCAGGAAATATGGGCAGCATAATGATTTGAGTGACTTTGATAAGGGCCAAACTGTGATGGCTAGACAACTGGGTCAGAGCACCTCAGGATCAGGGCTCACCGATGCACCTGGGGAGAGAAGGCTGGCAATGTTCTTCTGGGAAACCTTGGGTTCTGCCGGTTATGTGGATGTCACTACTTCAGAGGTTGTTCCTCCTTCTTTTACTTTAGAAGCTGAAGATGATCGCAGAGCGGCACCTCTCCTATGACAAGAACGACGCCCAGTCTTACGGCCTGTTGGGTCTGGTGGCCAAAGCTGAAGGCAAAAAGAAGAAAGCTGAGGAGTTCTATGAGAAAGCTCTGGACTGTGACGAAAACAACGATGAGTACCTGTCTGCTCTCTGTGAGCTGCGCATGGAGCTGCAGTGATGAAGCACAGAGATCAGAGCCCCGTTTCAGAAAGCAGGTTCAACAAACTCTGAGTGTAAACCTGAACTCTGAGTGGGCAAACTCAGAGTTTGCCGTTTCAGAACAGCTGATCAGAATAAGTTCAGTCAACCCTGAGTATATTGAGCCTGATTGAAGCGCGTGCGTGGGGATGAAAAAAAGCCTCATCAATGGAGCTCCGATACTACAATTCACCATGGCAACGGGTAAATAAAGGCAGAGCCTCCATTTTAATTGGGTGGAGCTAGAAATATGAACGCTGCCAACATGGACCATGATTGGCTCTAAAACGCAGGAGTGGAAGAAGGATCGAAACGTTGACAATATTACATTTTATACAGCTGCTCATTCATCATTTACCAGACTGGAGTTTCCTTAATGAATGATAAAGTGCTGGAATTCTCCTCCAGCCTGTTTTAAACAGCTACAGGCCTGTTTATTCAGCTGGAACCTGACGGTGGCAATAACTGAAGATGAAAATATTAATGGAACAGATTAGACACAGTCAAGGTTCCTCATGGACCTGTGATTGGAAAGTGACAGTCCGACTCAGCAGGTCTATTAATGATTCTTTTGCAATGTAAAATGTGTCTAGGTTCAAACTGACTATGAAGTTTTAGACGTCTTTGTTACATTAATAAAATGTTGCTCATTTGGTTTTTTATGAAATGCTGTCAAAACATATTCAGACGATCAGCAGATAATGAAAAACTCACTTTTAAACTACATGTATTTGTTTCAGCTGCACCGCAGTCATCCTCACTCAGAAATATTCACATCATATCCAGCTGATAACTACGAGAGGAATGTTCAATCTGTGCGACTACAAGATGAAAGGTTACTGTTCATTGATCAGTTTTATACAGATTAGTTTAAACAGTAGCCTATAAGGCAGCACTGTAGCCAAAGTGTTTTTGTGCAACTGTTGACAACCTGACAGCTGCCTAAATGTCCACAGAGTCACTGAGTTATAAAGGACAGTGGAGCTTATAGATTTGATTCTGTGCTGAGGATAAATTCAAGATGTCCAAAGATAACTCTCTGTCCATACATCAATGACAGATTGATCATAAACACGTCATGTTCAAGATCATGTTTGGCTGAAAAAAACACTAACAGCCTATTTAACTGTGATTTCGATGTTTCTGTTCCAATATGTGCTTTGAAATCGACGGTCTGAATGAGGAAATTCAGGCTCCGCAGGAGGGGAGGAGTCAGAGAGAAACTCAGCGTTAGTTGAAGTGAACCTCCTCCTGAGCAGGTTAGGTTCACAGCATCAGGGGTTACAGACCTAGAGTTTATCTGATCTCGCTCTCTGAAACCGAAAACCCAGAGTTTCCCTCATCTCGGGCTCAACTTACTCCGAGTTTTCACTAAACCGGCTTTCTGAAACAGGGCCCAGGTCTTCAGCTTTCGCTTCTGTAGTTGATCAGGATGCTGAATGAAAACTTTTGATGATTTTCAGACGGCTTCTGTCTTTTTTAGGCAGTTTTAGACACCTCTGTACTCTGGAATTGTTCAGACACATGTTTTTATTTTCCTGAGCCCTCTTGAGTTGATGAGAGTCAGCTGTCAGGTGCACTTCACCACCTATTTTTCTTGTATCTGCTTTTGCTGTATAAACTGTAGCACTGAATAAAAAGAATGCAGTAAATGGGAAGAAATGGTTTTGCTAAGCAAGTTGCATTTGAAAGAATTTTACTAGTAGGTGGCGATAAAGGAAAATGCAGATTCTAGTAGAATTGGATTTCAGAGAAGATCAGACTGAAGGAAGAATCTGCAGAAATGAGCCTTAATGATGAGCAGAATGAGCAGGATCCTGGATCAGGACCAACTCTGAACCAGTTATAGTTAAAAGCTTCATTATCCATGTGGACCCTGGTGGGAGCTGCCAGTGATGTGCAGGTTCATGCAGGAATAAGATGGACTTTTGAGCTGTTGAGTCATATCAGTTCAAGATTCACGTGATGTCACTGGCTTCCCATGTGGTCCAGTCGTTGGGTTCGGGCTTTATAGCCAAGTCCTGCTGTGGGAAGATCCTGACATTTGGGGCTCTGAAGTGAATCACTGCAGATGGTGATAAACACTCTGTGAATAGTGTTCCTGTTTTCTACCTGAAGAACTTAAGTCCACCTGCAAGAACATAGGCTTTTATTTTATGTTCAAACTTCTGAAATGTCGTTTAAAATCACACAGCTGAAAGGAGGTGCAAAGATATTCAACTCTGATTTTGTTTCGCACAACGGAAACTGACCCAAGTTCTGCTGGTTCACTATGCTGGCTCAGTCGCTCATGGTGGTCAGTGGCCTGCTGGGAGTGCAAAGCTGCTAGGAGCACTCCAATGGAAAGCCATTCAAATCCCCACCCAAACTGTACGCCACCTGTCCAGTCATCCTGCTCTGCCACACAGTGGATATTTCGTGTGACCCACCTGGGTAGCACAGGGCACTGGAAGATACATCACTGCCCCAGACCCGTTGTTTCTCAAGTCAGCGTGATGGCTGATTAGATTAAAGAAATGAGCAGTTGGTCCAAGCTTTTTATGGAACAACAAGCAGAAAACAATTTACCCTGATTTTATTATCCCTTGAATAGTTTCCAGAATTCCCTTCTAAACCGTTGAACAGAGTAACTCCAAGCTATATCGCAGACCAAGACTCCAAGAACTGATCGGAGTCCAGAAATCACAGGCTGATATATACAGTATAAATATATCTATCCAGTAAGTTGGTATTTGGCATTAATAGTGAATTAACAGTATAACTATTAATCATGTGCAGTTTATTATTACAGAGAATCAGCTTCAGCACATTTTATTCTTTGTAAATGTGTCTCATGTTTTGATTCCTACAGCTGAAGATGTTTTGAAGCTGGTCATAAAGTGAAGACACTCTTCTTCTGTGGTGAAGTGCTGCCACCTAGTGTACGTTACAGGCCCTACAGGCTGACCTCAACTAAAGCTGGGGCCAGCTACCTTCTGGGCCAGAAAAAAAAACAACCAAAAAGATTCTTTAGCCCTTAAAATGCAGATACCACAGCCTCAACATTATTAATAGGTCTAAATGACCATTCGTTCATATGTTTTGGCTGCTGTGGGTCTGTAGGCTATTTATGATTCTTTGGCTACTTTAACTTACATGTTTCCTGTGCAATGTTTTGATGCATTTATGACAGTATATAAGTAGACTATAGTAGTGGTGGTGAAAGCAGATAAATCTGTCCATGCACTTTTGAATTCTCTATTATCCTCTGAGATTTTTCTTTTTTTGGATTTTGAAAGCAAGGAATACACTTTGTTATATGCTGACTGTCTAGATATACTGCATCTATATATAGATTAATACACAACATAATTCTAAGAGTGATTAAGCAATGTGTTTGAGCAACTATACAGCAAAATAAGATATACAACCATCTCTCCTTGGTTTCCTGCTAATAAGGGGGGTTGAGTTTAGAGACAAACATACAGTCGACATAAATGAAATAGAAATATATAAATCTGGAACAGACAATGCAAGTTATATAAGAAAATTAAAAAGAATAGAGAAATATATAACTGGGATATATCCGCATGAACCTGCACATGACTGTACACTTAAGTCTGACATCCTACCATCTGAGCCAATGCACCACTCCGCCAAACACGCAAACAATTTGACTTGTACTTAATGAAAAACTTCATTTGTCTTTAGAGTGACGCTTTTCAGCTGTGATTTTGGTATTTTAATCAGAGCTTGAGTGGCTGAGCATGACGATATATAGAATGTTTCCACACTCCTAAGTAGATATGAGTAGTGGAGACTGTGGGTTAGTGCTGTTCCCACATGTCTGTGTTTCCTGTTTTTTCCCCCTGGTTTTAGAGTTGTTTTATTTTGAAATCTCTTGTACATTCATCGTTTCTTTCTTATTTTCTTTGTTTGGTAAAAAGACAAAAAGAGATGTGAAGATGAGGACTGACTGATATGAGGATTTACTGCCCTCCAGTGGTCACACTGCATCACTACAACACTACATAGCACTGATTTGTGGCTAACAGGACTTTTTATCAGGATCACTATGTACTAATCAGTATTAATGAGGTGATGAGGATTGGTGATTACATTGGTGGTATTCATGACAGTTTATTTGAGTCACTTTAAAAGTCCAGTTATTGTTTGTATTGAACACATCACTGTTGGTATCAGTGAGAAGAGAGACTGGATTTCAGATTTTGTCTTCACTTTGTGTAATGGGGAATATTGTATCTACAAACATTCAGTCTGCCTGTCAGCAGTCTGTGTCAACAAAAGCACAGGTAAATGTCATCTTATTGTGAAATTCTGCTTCCGCAGCCCTTCCTACGTGGCCTGCTTCCACTCCAGGAAACAGCTCACCTGTGTTGAAGCCTTTTCTCTGCAGGCGTTGAGTGAGAGTCTTCTTCTCTAACACTTTGAACGCTTTGTGTTTGTGTTCACCAGGTGGAGGCGTGTGACGTCCACGACAGCTTCTCTGTAACACTGACTTTCTAAAGTCTTTTAGCGAGTTGGATTACTAATGAGCCACAGTACAGTCAGGTAGCTTCAGGTGTGTTGAAGTGTTCTCACCTTAGCTGAGCAGAGCTGTTGCTGCCACCTCTGGAGGTCCCAGTTCAGAGAGCCCTCATGAGTAGGGTTGGGTACTGAAACCCAGTGCCAATATGGAACCGGTTCCTATACGACCGGTACCTACAGGACTGATTTCCAATGCAAATTTTGGTGCCACTTGTATTGTGTTGATTTAAATATTTTTGCTCTGGTGCTCACGTTAGAAGCGTTGCCACCAAAGGCTACGAGACGACAGCCGGTTTCGCTCGGTCTTTATTAATGCTGCTATAATACAGGCTACTGTGAGATGCAGCCTACGCCAAAGAAACAAACCTGCCTCAACAGAGAGCTACACTTTTTATTTCTCTCGCTGTTCACCCTCTCTGTCCTGAGCCTAACGTTCCCTCCCCCAGGCTAGCAGTAACAACAACAACTGCCCCCCGCCCACCCCCTAACTCTCTACCTGCCAATCACAGGTAGGAAAATAAATTATTGAAAGGCTTCTACACGTATCAAACATTTGCTGACAGGCATGACACGTTCACTGACCTCCTGGAAATACTGGAGAACACGGTAACTACAATAAACAGCCTGTGAAGTTTGAAGCCAGTTTGTAGCAAGAATACCAGCTCAAAATGGATTTCTCTGTCAGTACTGTAACTGGTATTTAGTGTTAAATTACTGTAGTTGGGTTC